ACTGAGTAGTACTGGCATGTTACTGCGAAAGAATTTTCTCATAAGGTTATCTGCAGAGCATGAGAATACTGGGATGACCCGGGGCTTGCGCCAGTCTGGGCTGCACAGCCCAGAATTCCGTCACCAGAAGTGGCCAGGATGTGATGTTTCAGACAGAAGCGCAAAATAGATGCACACCGATTCAGGAGGCATCTTCACCTATGACAGAAGTGTGGAGGAAACAGGAAGCAGAAATGTCTCTGACTTCCTGTTTCTGCACTTTTAATTTTTTTTAAAAAAATGTATTTTACTTAATTTATATCCCGCCTTTCCCTCCCAATGGGATGCAAGGTGGCTTTCATCATTCTCCTCTCCTCTGTTTTATCTTCACTACAACTGCATTGCAGGCAATAGCAAACAAACTCTGTTCATCTCTCGCCTTGGAAACCCTGCTGGGTTGCCCTAAATCAGCTGTGACTTGATTTCACTTTTGCACACAAAACTCTTTGGCAGCATCTTATTTAAGGTTACAGAAACCAAAGAAGACTGTTGTTGGACTGGTCGGCAGCATTCGACACGGTCGACCATCAACTACTGATCCACCGACTCGCTGATGCTGGGATTCAGGGGTCTGCCTTGCAATGGCTCTCCTCGTTCCTTCAGGGTCAGGGACAAAGGTTGGCACTAGGGGAACAGCTGTCCCGAAGGCACCCGCTAGCTTGCGGAGTGCCCCATGGGGCGGTACTTTCCCCGATGCTATTTAACATCTATATGTTCCCCCTTGCCCAGATTGCCCAGAGGCATGGACTTGGGCTGTCACCAGTATGCTGACAACACCCAGCTCTATCTGCTGTTGGGCGACCAGTCTGACTCTAGTCCGGAAGATCAAGACCTGGCGTTGCAGGCCGTGGCTGACTGGCTTAGACTGAGCCGACTGAAATGGAATCCGACGAAGACGGAGGTGCTGTGCCTGTGTCGGGGCGGCCCGGGGCTAGGGATCCCACTCCCATCCTTTGATGGGGCGCCATTGGTGCCAGCGCTGGAGGTTAGGAGTCTAGGAGTGCTCCTGGATGCCACCCTGACGATGGAGGCCCAGGTAGCAGCCACTGCTAAGTCGGCCTTTTATCAGCTTCGGCTGATTAGGCAGTTGGTTCCCTTCCTCGAACGCAGCGACTTGGCATCAGTGATCCACGTGATTGTCACCTTGAGATTGGACTGCTGTAATCCTCTCTACATGGGGTTGCCCTTGACACAAATCTGGAAGCTTCAGCTGGTGCAGAATGCAGCAGCCAGGCTGTTGCTGGGCCTCCCCACGCGGGAGTATATCCAGCCTGCACTAAAAGCACTGCACCTATAGCGTACCAAATTTGCTTCAAGGTGCTAGTGCTTACCTATAAAGCCCTTTATGGTCAGGGACCTACTTATCTGCAGGACCGCCTTTCCCCACATGTTCCTCAGAGAGCCCTATGATCAATCAGGGTCTCAAAATCACTTGGCCTGCCCTGGCCCCAAGGGCACCAGACTGGCATCAACTTGGGCCAGGTCCTTTTCAGTGGCGGCTCCAACCTGGTGGAATGAGCTCCTGGAAGAGATCAGGGCCCTGCGGGACCTTTTACAGTTCCACAGGGCCTGTAAAATGGAGCTCTTCCACCAGGTTTTTAGGTAAGGAGCCGCACCTAATAATCTAAGACCCTTTGCCCAAAACCACCATCCAGCCTGAGCCTGCCGGCAGGAAAAAGAATAATTTGCTGACTGTAATCTATATGTTTACTGCTACTATTGTACCGCCATCATCATACAAACTGGTTTTAGTAATTATGTGGTGCTTTATGAGGATATTTATATTGATGTTTTTATTACTTGAGAGCCAATTTGGTGTAGTGGTTAAATGCACGGACTCTAATCTGGGAGAACCAGGTTTGATTCCCCAGTCCTCCACTTGCACCTGGCTGGATGACCTTGGGCAAGCCATAATTCTGGCACAGCTGTTCTTGAAAAAGAGCAGTTTCTGTCAGAGTTCTCTCAGCCCCACCGACCTCACAGGGTGTCTGTTGTGGGGAGGGAAAGGGAAAGGAGTTTGTAAGCCGCTCTGAGACTCCTCTGGGTAGTGAAGGGCAGGGTATGAATCCAATCTCTTCTTCTTCTTCTTTTACCTCACAGGGTGCCTGTTGTGGGGAGGGGAAGGGAAAGGACTTTGTCAGCCGCTCTGAGACTCCTTTGGGTAGTGAAGGGCGGGGTATAAATCCAATCTCTTATCTTTCTCTTCTTCTTGTTGTTGCAATTTGTGTAAACCGCCCTGAGCCTGTTCTGATGGGAAGGGTGGGGTACAAATCAAACCGCCCTGAGCCCCGTGTAAGTGGGGAAGGGTTGTTAAGAAATAGCAATAAAACAAACAAATAAAAGCATTGAAATCAAATCAAATAATCCACTTTCAGTCCACCTTCAGTGCACTTTCCAACTGGATTTTATTGTGAACCGGCAAAGGCCCATTCTGCATCTAGCATTTGCTCCGCTGTTCTTCCAAACCCACGTTGGAGCAGAAATCCCCCTCTGCATTGCATGCCATTTTCACTTTCATTGTTGTTTATGGCTGAGATTAGAACCTTCCAGCCTTGGCATGTGGTTTGGTTGTTTGTCGGATTTTATGGCAGCGTTCAGACTGCATGCCGCTTTCACTTCGTTTGATCTCTCGGTTTTATGGTACTGTCCGCATAGATTTATGGCCGTTTTATGGCCATTCAGGGGTGACTCTGCAGTCAGTACGGCATTGGCCTGGGTTATCTGGATGTGGTTTTGAGCCGCATCTTTTTCTGTTCCAGCGTGGGTTTGGTAAAACAATTGAGCGAATGCTAGATGCAGAACGGGCCATAATCTAGTTGGAAAGTGCACTGAAAGTGGATTGAAAGTAAATTATTTAGCGTGTGTGACTGCAGCCTTTGACAACTGGAAGGCAAAGCACTTGTGTGGGCAATATTTGAAAGACATAGAGGAAAAAGTTGATAGTGAAAATTCCTGGAAGTGGCTCCAAAATGGGCACTTGAAGAAAGAAACGGAAGGACTCATTCTAATTGCACATGAGCAGGCACTTGAACAGTATGAAAGCCAAGATTCAGAAGACCAGTGATAACAGCAAATGTTGACTTTGCAAGACTAAGGATGAAACAGTTGACCACATGATCAGTACCTGCAGTAAGATTGCTCGAACTGAGTATTAAGAACGTTACAATAGAGCTGCAGCTATGTTGCACTGGAATCTTTGCAAGAAGTATGGCTTACTACCAGCCAGAGATTCATGGGAGCAGAAACCAGACAAGACCATGAAGATTGATGAAACAAAGATTCTTTGGGACTTCCAATTACAATTAGACAAACACTTGGAGCATAACACCCCTTATATCACAATTGTAGAAAAAAAGAGAAAGAGGGTTTGGATTATTGACACTGCAATCCCAGGAGGCAGCAGAACAGAAAAGAAAGAACAGGAGAAGATCACAAAATACTAAGACTCATAAATAGAGTTAAAGCTGTATCTGAAGAAGTGAGCAGTGACCCACAAAAGCTCATTAGTCTTTAAGGTGCTACTAGACTAGTTTTTACTGCTACAGACAGACTAACACGACTAACCATCTTCATCTAATAAATACCAGCTCAGCTCCAGAAACACAGTTGCTTGGAGCAGAAGACAGTGCTCCGAAAGTACATCTCTAATTCCAAAGAACTTGGCTAGATCTTGGATTGCAGAACACCATCTACCAGTCAAATATCTAACTGTGACAATTATTGATGATGATGATGATTGAGCAAATAACACCAGTGGAGCTCCAGAAGACAGTGTTGCTTGGAACAACAAGAATTCCACCAAGATACATCTGCACTTCCCAAGAACTTGGCTAGATCTCGAATTCCTGAACACCATCTACCAGTCAAAGATCTGACAGTGACAATTCATCAATCAATCATCATCACCACCACCCACCACCATCATCCAGAGAGGTTTGGGCCAGCTTTTGAGGTCGCTGGCTATAGCAAAAATGATGGGAGTTTGTCACAGTTTTTGGTCTGATAAGAATGTGCATGAGAAATACATGTCTAAATTTAAGGTCTTTGAGCTTGAGAGACCAGAACCAAAAATCCTTCTGCCACGCTTTCTGAATGGCCTGGTATAGCTCTAGTCCATCAAAATTTATGCCACAACCAATTGCTTAGTCCGGAAGGAGCCGCAGGAGTCTTTTTGTTGTTCTGCTCAGCTGTAACGGGACTTTCAGGGCTGCCCTCTGGAATTCCTGCACTGGCACCCGGGGATTGTTAAGAATCGGGCTGCTAACGGCAGACTAGCGCGCTGCCGGTCCTAGGAAAAGAAGGAAACACGGGGACAGACCTACAACTCATCCAGTAAATAGGTGTAAACCGCGTAGGAATTTCCTAACCCTTGGACAAACCCGTCAGCTGAATTCTGAAGTGGAAATTTGGGTATAATCTCAACCCCCCCCCCCCTTCTCTCTGCAAATCTGGAAGACGAAGAAGGGCGGGGGGGGGGAGCAGTCGCAGATTCCCCGTTCTTTCCTGCGAGGTTCTCTTGAAACATTTCCCAGCCTGGCTGTTAAGCGGCGCTTCTCACTGCCTGTTCCAAACCAGCTGCAGCAGAAGCGACGCCTCGGAAGGGTTAATCCGGCACCCCCCACCCACCTCCCGCCCCCTTTCGGAGGGAGCTGCCGAACCAACCTAGCTCCGGTTTGAAAAGGCAACCGCAAGCTGCCTGTGCGCCCAGGGCGCACGGAGGCAGCGCCGGCCGCTTGGCGACTTCGAGAACAGAGTCCTAGCAGCCCCCCTTTAGCAACAGAGGGTCCAGAGGAGGTGCTTCGCTTGCCTCTGATCTCCCCAGACCCCTGTGGGGTCCTCCTTGGCCTGGGATGCGTCCGTGAGTTGCTGGTTTTTGGAGACAGCGCCCCCCCCCGGGGGTTAACTTGCGCGTCCGGCTGATCACATTCCAAAGCGCCTCTCCAAAGGCCAACGTTCCCAAGATGTACCTGACTCTATTCCTCTCTTGGTGCTGCTGCTGCGGCTGCTTCTGGGGATGTACCTTCGGGACGGGATTTCTCTACCAGTTCCCCGCCTCAGCCCTGCAACACAACTATCCCGAGCAGAACTCCGGAGGACCTTCTAGCAACGGCTTTACCAATCGGCGGTGAGTCCAAACATTTTCAGACTGGAGGTAGCCCCGGAGGTTCTTATTAAGCCGGTGCAAATGGAAACGGCAGTTTAGCGCTTAACTGGGACACAGCAATTCTCTCTCTCTCTCTCTCTCTTTGTGTTTACAGCTGGAGGAGGGGGGTGGTCGTTGATTAAATAAGTACTGGGGCTTAATCATGTGGACATTTGCCATATATGGAGTGAGACCGCTGGTCTGCCTTGTTCAGAATTGTCTGCTTTGCCTCTTAGGTGTTCTCCAGGGGAGCTTTCCCCAGCTCTGCTATTGAGACCATTTAATCAGAGATGCTTGGGGGGATCTTTGGCATGCATAGCATGGGCTCTACCAATGAGTTATGGGCTGGCCAGACAGTGTGCTGAATTAGCAGCATCTTAAGCATCTGACGGTACAGTGCACTGAGCTGGGCCATTCATCTGTCTAGCTCACCACTGTCCACACTGCCATAAACCACCATGCTGAAAGAGGACCTTTACACGGAGACAGTGGGGACCATCTGTGTGTGACTCATGCACTCTACCACTGAGCCATGTCCCCTTCCTTGCCAGCAAGTGGCATGGTCTGAACTAGAAGCTGCCTTCCATCCCGGATACATGGGAACCAGCTGTGGTTACTCGGTAGAGGTCAGAGGTACACAATTTGAGCTGATTCAGGCATGCCGGGTGACCACAGCAACCAGTGGGAATTTCTTGCTTGTGTGGGTGGACGATCGCAGGTCTCAACTGCATGTCAACAGGTACCTGACAGGAGTGGAACATAATGCTGCCTGGTGGGCTTTGTCAGGAGGGGCTGTGGCTCAGTGTTGGAGCCTCTGCTTTCCATGCAGAAGGTCCCGGGTTCAGTCCCCAGCATCACCAGTTAAAAAGGACCAGGCAGTAGGCAATGCTCCCTCTAAGCTGTGGAGTCTTGTGAGCAAAAATTCTACTTTGTGAGCTACTGGTATTAAGAACAAAAGAGAAGCCAATGTTGGATCAGGCCAGTGGCCCATCTAGTCCAACACTGTCATACAGTGGCCAAAAATACCAGGTGCCATCAGGAGGTCCACCAGTGGGGCCAGGACACTAGAAGCCCCTCCCACTGTTGCCCCCCCCCCCAGCACCAAGAATACAGAGCATCACTTGCCCCAACCTGAGAGTTCCTACCTATACCTTGTGGCTAAGCCACTAATGGACTTCTGCTCCATATGCTTATCTAATTCCCTCTTGAAGCTGTTGTGAGTTAAAGTTGTGAGCGAGCAATTTGGCTACTGCATAAATTAGTTTGCTCTGGAGCTTATCCTTCCAGAGCTAAGACAAAAATCTGTGAGCCAGAGGCTAAAAAACTGAGCTAGCTCACACTAACTCAGCTTAGAGGGAACACTGGCCAGTGGGTGATGTGAAAGACCTCCGCCTGAGACTCTGGAGAGCCCCTGCCAGTCTGAGTAGGCAGTACTGACTTTGATAGACCAAAGGTCTGGTTCAGTATAAGGTAGCTTCATATGTTGTATTCAACTTTTCCTGTGCTTTTTATATGCTGGGGTTCTCTTAGGTCACTGTTCTCTGAAACGATAGGCAATAAACCACTGGTGACAGCTGTGTCATCAAACGGTAGGGAAGGCGTATTTTAAATAATTTTAAAGCAACAATGCATAGTCCTTCTCAGACAATGCCTTGGTTGGTATATTTCACAGCTGAGTTGAAACAGTATGTGGGAGGAGCGGTGTGAGCCCACTGGTCAGCCAACCTTCCTTGGGACTTGTACATTCCATGTCAATATCTGACTGCCTGGAAATTTGGTTCATATGATTCTCCCCTTCTAAAAGAGAAGGAGGAAGGGAAGATCAGGATTCTCAACAATCAGATGATGGAGGAGAAGGGCTTATGCTAAGTTGCCCCCCCCACCCCATGAGTGTATGAATCAGGGCAAACAGGTTCCAGTTGAACTGGTCTGCATACATCTTCCCATGTGTGATGTTTAAAAGGGCTTACCATCAAGTAACACCCCTGGTAAAACAGTCAAAGGAATGTAAAACAAATAGACACTGAAATAAAAACAGGGGATTTAAAAAAGCCACCTAATAATATATAGTAAGATGCAGTAGATGATAACTAGAGAAAAACTAGCAGTGCTATAAAAACATTTTCTCACCCGAAAGAGAGTTGTCCCAGCAACAGCTGCAGCAAGACACTAATGGGAAAGACCAGGTGAATGATGATGATGTTGTCACCTGACAAATGGTAGACTTGATGAGGGGGGAGATCACTAAAAGGACCTATCTCTGCCTTCTACCGCCATGCCTCAGAACCAGGGAGGCATGCAGAACAAGGTATAAGGTATTAATCTTAATTGGTGGGCAGGTGGCGGTGGGAGGGGGTGGTCCTTCACATCCCTTTGTCCCAGGCTGTTTAGGGTGTCAAACATGCGGCCCGGGGGCCAGATGAGGCCCCCGAAGGGCTTCTATCAGGCCTGCAATGGAACTGGCTGTCTTCTGCTTCTTCTTCCAGTTCTGCTGCTGTTGCGTCATTGTAGGTTTGCAGCTTACAGATACCGAATCAACCCTGGCGATCAATGGGGTGACAGATGTCACAGCCAGATTGCCCTCACATCCTGTGCCATTACCTGTTATTCTGCCCACTCTATCAATCCCCTAGGAAGAATTTCTAGGCGCAGTTTTGGCCACCCTAGGCACTAGAACAGGAACAGAAAAAAAATCTTCGTTTTACTAGCAGACGTAGAGGCCGAGATTTCACACAAGGTGGCCCTCTTTGCCCTCGGTGCAGAGAAAATTTGGAAGAAAATAGTGGCAGTACCATAGCTTGATTACCAACGGAAGACAGGACGGATGAGTTGGAATCGTTTAAATTTTTTATTGTGTTCTAATCTAGTTTTTTATTTTTCTAGTTTTACTAGCCTATATAGATGTTATTGTTATATTGTTCTGTCATTGTAATGGCCTATGGCCAAAGGCAATAAAACCTGAACCTGAATCAGATACACACCTGAACAGCATACTCAAGATTGCAACAGCACAGACATTTTGATGCAATAATTCAGAGCAAGAGGTGTCAGTTATCAGACACTGTTAAATAAAAAAAATATTGCAAGCGAGCTAATCATTTAAGCATGCTTGTATTTTAAGTTAAACCCCCCCACCATTTGTGTTTGTGTCCTTTATAAAGTTTATATCTCCGCTACCTGGCATTACCTTTTATGACATGCATGGTCCAGCCCAACAAGGTCTCATTTATGTCAGATCCGGCCCTCATAACAAATGAGTTCGACACCCCTGGTTTAGGCTCACACACTGAGCAACCAAGTCACTATCTGGAGCCATCCATGCCGAAATAAAATGGAAGAGGGGAGAATATGATAAACCACTTTGGTTCTTCCACTGGGGAGGCAAGTGACATAGAAATGAAATAAAATGCATTAAAAACAAGCAATCGAGTTATATACATGCCCATGTGCTGCTACCCTCAGAGGCCTTTGAATGTTACGAATGCCTTACGCAGCTAGCATTTCCATGTGAAAATTGCACGTGGCTCATAGTTGACTATTTCCCATTTATTTCAGCATAGCATACATGTATTTAGAAAGCAGCAGCCACAATTGTCACATGTGATATGTATGCTTCACAGTTTTCCTTACATGTTGAGAAGCATAATGTGTCAGTGAACCCATGTACAGCTACAGGGAATCCCCCTTTTGGAAATTTAAATGCCCTTCTTGTACTGCCTTTGGGTAGCCCACATTTTTAGAGGTAAGATGGGTGGCTACCTAAGATAGGATCTTCTCTTTGGTTGCACCTTTGTTTGGAAAAAATCTCCCACCTTTTTAACCTGTTGAAGGTGGTTGTGTTCTGTTCTTGTTTAGTACTGACAACCTGGAGCCTGCAAAGGCGAGGGTACAATTTGGAATTTTGTCCTCCAAATTTCCCCCTTTCAAGATTCTCTAAGTTTCATGGTATTTAGCATGCCAATTTGGTCTATTTTTTTTTTTTTTAAATTAAACTAACTCTCAATTGCTCTGAACATTTGTGCCTCCTGAAGTATGCTCAGTCTTCATCACGCAGTTCAAAGGCGGGACTCTCTTTTGATTCATTGACAAAGTCATATTTTTCTGCATATCCAGGAAGCCCTCTAATTAACTAGAACCTTCTCCATTGTGAGCTGGTTATGCAGCTTTTAGGTTCATAATGGAGTCCATGTGCTTTACAATAAGGAGGAGTGAAGTTTGTTGCCTGCCTGCCTGCCTGCCTATCCATCTATCCATCCATCTATCCATCCATCATCTATCATCTATCCATCTATCCTCTATCCATCTATCATCTATCATCTGTCAGTCTGTCTATCTACCTACCTACCTACCGTACCTACCTACACCTACCTTTTCAGAGGCCCTGTCAAAGCAGACACTCAGAATTCTGTAAAATATAAAAACCAGACAAACCAGATAAAATATTCTATGTGGAATCATTGCCAAAAAATGTTCTTAGCTGCATTTTGTAGATGTGATTTAAATAGTAATACCATGGGGAATGGTATGGTATAGCCTGATCTCGTCAGCTCTTGGAAGTTAAGCAGAGTCAGTACTTGGAATCGAGACCTCCAAGGAAGACACTGCAGAGGAAGGACACAGCACACCACTTCTACTTTTTCATTGCTTTGAAAGACCTTTGATGGGGTTGCCATAAGTTGATTGCAACTTGATGAAACTTATATATATATATACATGCTGCTGCTACTACTATGTATTTAAAGTGGTGAAGAGGAGAATATTGTAGCTGATCTGGGTCCTCATCGGGGAGAAAGACAAAGGTATGAATGAAGTAAACAAAAATACAAATAAAATAATCATAACAAGGTTGTAAGTATGGCATGGGTGTACAGTGTGGGCAGCATGTTATACATTTGAACCAGTGTTCCCTCTAAGCTGAGTTAGTGTGAGCTAGCTCACAGTTTTTTAGCCTCCTGCTCACAGATTTTTGTCTTAACTCAGGA